AAAGCCTTTCTTGTTCTTCTATATTAATAGATTCACTTGCAATTAGAGTTTTTAGATTTTTGGTAACAATCTATTCAAATAATAGATTTTGAGTACAAATGCTATTTCTTTCTCAAATGAATAAGCAATACTCATTTCACTCTATTTCTAATATATGAAAATTTCTTTCTATAGGAATAACAACTATATTTCTAACAGGTTTTTTTTGCTTATTTCATATATATTTTCTTATATATAAAATAGAATTTCTATATAAATTGTTCACTTTTTGATTGTCTTTGACGATCAATTATTACATAGTATGGTAAAAATAGTAAAAAAAATCTGAAGTACGTATGTACATACATACGTACATATTAATTTTAGGTTTGCGCAAAATTATTTATTATTTTTGTGCAATTGCAGAATTGTGTATATATACAAACATGCATTTGCATATACAATTATAAATGAAGATTTCCTTTCTTGTAATTTTTGTTAACATATATTCTATTCATGCAAGTTGTACTATGTATTGCAAATAAGATAAGCCAAATTATAAGTCTAGCTAATAAACTATGTTAGTATCTTCGCAATCTGAGATTTGTGAAGACCTTTGTGTATTTTTTTAGGAATTTATTTGAGAAAGCGTAGTTGATGACTGTTTATAGCAAGCTTTTTGTATAGCTGTTCTAATGATCCTTTATATCTATTAATCATCCAATTTGGTGTTTAGAATAGCTTTGATTGTTTTTTTTTATAATAATCAGTGGTATCATAAGTTCGAACTTGTTTCTTTAGAAGTTTAGATGATTCAGCAAATATTGCATCAATGTAATTATGTAAAAATGATCGTAACTACAAAAAAATTATAATAAGTAATAATGTAACTTAACTAATACCATATAGCATCTTACTAGCATCAATCTTAAAAAATAATAATAATAATACAGCTTTACAGTATCAGAGTGCCATTTCAAATTCTTTACAACAATCTTTTGTTCTTTAGAAGAATTTTTTTTATCAGTTTCAGAATTCTCAGGTGAATAGTATAAGTTGCTATTTTTAATTGGCAAAAGATCTTGATCTCTAAAAAACATAATTACCGAATCTCTAATTACAGCTAGATGTCAGATTGTATTAGCTCTGTTTCATCGTTTCTATATATAATTAAAATATAATGAAATTAGTAACAATTCTAAAATAAAAACACTAGAGTGTCTAGGATACTGCTGCTCTAACTGAAAAACTCTGCTGCAATTATTATTAAATTAGATTATTCTGCAGTTATATATAAATAACACAATAGACTATATTTGCCAATAATTGTCCGGAGCGTAATGACGAACACTCAATTTTTACGTATTAAGTGATACAAAGTTATGTTTTTGATACGTTTCGATCATGAAATTTCTTTTTGATGCATCAACATAATTATCATAAACAAATATGTCAATATCGTAATTTGGAAATTTTTTGTCTGTTCGCATGTGTGATGTGTGATTGCATAACTGTTTTGAACAACAAAACTGATAAATATGATAAATATGGTAATACAGACTCGTGGTAAGTTATTCGTATGATTGGCTGGTGTAAATTAATTGTCTGGGTAACTTATTTATACACTTTAGAGTACTTTTTAAGAACATAACGGTTTACTAACAAAAGTTATTTATAATACTTCGGACTTATATCGGTTTCTGATTTCTAGTTTATTATTCTGCTCACAGAATTCTGTACAAATTCTGCACAGATTTTGCCCTAGACATTTTATAAAACATTAAATAAAACTTACACTACTCCTTCGGTAATTTCGATGTTTTCGTCTTGCATCTTTATCTTGAACTTCCTTTGATTGTTTTTTCAAGTTATAAGCTTCACGTTTGTGTTTGTGACAAATATGAATAATATCATATATAATTTTCTCAGAAACTGAAATCAATGATAAATCTAACACTTTTTTGATGGTTGGGATTACTGTACCTTTCACTAACATTTCTTGAGACTGAAATGTCTGGTCTAATTTCAGTTGACTTTGGAGTGGCATCCTTTTAAGTATCCAACTAATTTGGTGCTAAATATAAAAAAATATTATTTAATAATATATATATAGTATATATACCATATATTACTGCATACATAGTACTAACGGTAAGGAAGTAGGTACTACATTTGGAATAATGCCTGGGTCTTAATCAAGGGGAGTAAATTTTTAGAGGTACTGTATACAATGGTTCTCCCCTGAATTTCCGAAATACAAAATCCCAACAGGTTATAATCTTGACATGAATAATCTCGAAAGAGACAAAATTCTGACAAGACAAAATTTCGAAAAAGACAGAATCTTGACTAGAAAAAAATCTCGATATTCAAA